CTTAATCTTTTTCTTGTTTCTCCTCCTAAGTCCAACTTTCAGACTTTCTCTATTCAGATTATTTATAAGTTACTGAATTTCATTTGCAGATTCACTGAAGAGATCAATATCATCTGCAAATCTTAGTTTGTTTAGGAATTTGTGCATCTGTGTATAAATACAAAAATTAAACTAAAAGGTGACAGTGGACGTGGCATATCACTTCCAATCTCAGCATCACTGGGTTGAAGAGTTCTCACAGTGACTAAAGTAATCATTACAGTGATAACCAATAAACTTCAAATATATTATCACAGGTTATTACTCTAATATCTGACTGGGGATTTCTCATGAAAAATAGTACCAGTCCAAATTCTACCTTGCCAAAAATAAATAGAGTATTATTGTTTGTCTTTGCCACAGAGAGAAGAATAAAGGTCACAGTGATTTCCTGATGCAGGTCAATCCTAGACATTTTTCCTCTTCTTACCATCAGATTTTCCCTATATTAGTGTGCTCATTAAGTAAATGTATACCAATGTATCATGTATTGCATAACTTTCTTATTGTCAACTTGCAAAGTGTAAAAAGTGCCAACGAATTTTGTTTTAGCATAATGAACATACTTAAAGAGATAATCAAAGATAATTAACCAAACCATCCACATATATCGACGAAAAGACATGAATTTTCTATTCCCTCTGTGGTCATATGACTGATCCCGAGTCCCGTCTCTACTAACATTCATTCTATCTTCCAATATAAAGATAATTTGCTTATAGCTTTAATTGGATCCTCACCCCCATGCATAATATGCTTAAATCACCAATAAGAAACAATTTCATCTTACCCTCTAGAAGGGAAAATACTGATTTTGTCTTTCCCTGACATCTTGACGACCACGGACTTGTTTACACTCGGACGAAAACTTCACTTCTGGAAATGAGGGATCAATAGTCATTTATATACGATCATAAACCTTCTTTTTGAAGTATTTTTTATTCATTCATAATTATGCTTATAGTTTTCGTTTGAGATTAAAAATATTATTAGAGAGATGTAAGTTCTAGGAGATTAATTTAGCTCAATTGTATTTTAAGAATTATCGTACAACTCTTTACGAAGTCAACGTTTCATGACCAGTCAGCTGACCGAATATCTGTTCGATTCTATTCTTTGTAAGAATATACTAATAGTGATAGGTGATATTTAGATACAGGGAGTATACTGATATAAAATACGCATTATTATATAAATCTTATTCATGAAATATGACAAGAAGAAGCCAAAATAATTGGTTCTAAGATTAAGTATCCAAGGAAACGGACACGACATGTTCCATGTAGAATCGAAAATGTTATCTTAATATACAGCTACTATAATGTAGTGATACTTACAGAAATAAGGTAAAATTAAATTAAATTAAATACTTATTCAACCAAACTATGATCGTATCACCATCGACAGCTATAATCCATAAGGTTAATTTTGACATCTAAAGGTGCCAATTTTCACCAATTATCAAAAATGGAATTAAACACACAATTCTAATGACAAGATATTATTCATATTTAATCACTTTCTGATCTATTTTTTCAGGCTTACTTGAATCTTAATTTTGGATCGAAAGCCGCGCACGCGCAGACTTGCTGGAGATAATTCCGGTCGAGCTAATCATGTCTCATCCCTTATTTGGAATTCGTCGACGGCGCTTCAAACACACTTCAAAAAAAAATGTACGGCGTGTGCGTGTGTGTACACTTACGCACACACAAATATATATATATATATATATATGTATGTACACACACACACACACACGCGCGCGCGCGCGCGCGAAGATATATTTATGTGTGTGTGTGTATGTGTGTGTGTGTGTGTGTGTGTGTGTGTGTGTGTGTGTGTGTGTGTGTGCATGTATGTGTGTGTGTGTGTGTGTGTGTGTGTGTGTGTGTGTGTGTGTGTGTGTGTGCATGTATGTGTGTGCATGTATGTGCGTGGTGTGGTTGTGTGTGTGTGTGTGTGTGTGTGTGTGTGTGTGTGTGTGCGTGTGTGTGTGTACGTGTGTGTGTGCGTGTGTGAGTGTGTGTGTGTGTGCGTGTGTGTGTGTGTGTGTGTGTGTGTGCATGTATGTGTGTGCATGTATGTGTGTGCATGTATGTGCGTGTGTGTGGTTGTGTGTGTGTGTGTGTGTGTGTGTGTGTGTGTGTGTGTGTGTGCATGTATGTGTGTGCATGTATGTGCGTGGTGTGGTTGTGTGTGTGTGTGTGTGTGTGTGTGTGTGTGTGTGTGTGCGTGTGTGTGTGTATGTGTGTGTGTGTGTGCGTGTGTGAGTGTGTGTGTGTGTGTGTGCGTGTGTGTGTGTGTGTGTGTGTGTGTGTGTGTGCATGTATGTGTGTGCATGTATGTGTGTGCATGTATGTGCGTGTGTGTGGTTGTGTGTGTGTGTGTGTGTGTGTGTGTGTTTGTGTGTGTGTGTGTGTGTGTGCATTTATATATATATATATATATATATATATATATATATATATATATATATATACATACATATATATACTCTATTTTTTAAAATTAAAGATGCATTCCACATAACTGAAAATCATTTAAACAGCAATACAGGAAAACGCCACGTTTCATTCCTCTCACTCCAGCATATATGGATATTGGGAATTTTACGTGGATTCTCATGACAGGTGAGCAAAAACTGTGAATGTAGAAAATGCAGTATTTTCTAATTTGAAAAAGACAACGGAAAGATGAAATCCCCCAGTTATGTTTTGTATTTCCACTGCCAGAGATCTTTCTCTATATGGATGCTGGCGTAAGCTTTTACAACAATATATAATGCACGAGCTGTATTCATAGCAGCGATCACTTATCACTAAATAAATCGAGTTGCTTCAGATCGAAGTCCACACTCAATCTTTACATCGTACTTTTTGACTACTGCCGTCATAAACAAAGGAAAAAAATCTTTTGCAGTATGGAGGAAAGAAAATAAGAATAATACACTGGAAGTAACTAAGTAGACCCGATGAAAATATTAAATGGTGCATTCGTAAGATATAGTGTAGTTATCCAGTCACTATCATGTAGAAAACGAGTGTAAATTTCCCTATAGAAAACGAAATAATTTAGCAATATAAACTCTATAATTTTCTCCTTATATTTTGATTGCAATAGGCATGAAATTATGATGAATTTTAATATACCAGTCCAGAAGACTTTACTATGAATTAAAAATATATCATTTCCTTCTCTCCCAATCTGACTTCGATTTGGAATATAAATGGTGTTAAAAAGTGAATTGCGTGTATTATTTTTTGTCATAGTATACTTAATTATTGAACAAAAATGCAAATACTGAAAAGAATATATTGTGCCTTCGTCTTTCGCTTTCCTTTCCTTTCCCTGTTTCCTCTCTTTTCATCAACCAGAATTAAGACATCTCATTCAAATTATCATATCAATATCATATTCTGGCTTATAACAGCAATCATCAAATTATTCAGTTATCTCTACTTAATCTCAAGCATCTGCACGGGCAAAATTAATTACAATTTTATGAATAGTTATCATTATCTTGTTTTTTTCTTGAAATTATACGTAAATTTATGAATAGTTATCATTATCTTGTTGTTTTTTTTTCTTGAAATTATACGTAAATTTACACTTCTTTCAGAAAAAAAATCTTGGATTTATGTGAAGAAAAATATTCATAATCAGTTCCTCATATATATTGTTAATTTACGTCAACTAAGCCCTTTTTACTATAACCGCATTACAGAGGCATTGTAAAATTTAGAGGAATCGAATCCAAAGTGACATTTACAACTTCAAACCCCTCAGTAAAGTAAACCAAGTCTAAAAAAATAACTAAAATACTCAGCATGAATAAAAAGCGGCTTAATCATCGTTCCATACACAATAACTTTATGATTAAAGAAATGAAGGGAATAAAAAATAAACTTATAAGATCTCCGATTCCATCAGTCACATGCTACACGCCGTCCAGCCTATACTGTGACCTTGGAAGATACCATAAAATTGATATCCCTGACACGCGTAGATTTTTAACTGAAGAAGGATATATAAATCTATATGAATTGTTTCATGTTTATCTACTGTATATATAAATTAATAAAGTGGTCATATTCAAATATAATTATTTTTTGTTTATCTGTAGTATATAGAAATTAACGAAGTTTTCATATTCAAAAATACTAAATCAATTTTACTATTTACCTCTGCCCTGTTTGTATGTATCTATTTTTCTAGCTATCTGTTTATTTCTCCAATACTCCGCCTATCTTCCTATCAGCCTGTCTGCAGGTCTATCTTCTTATCTACCTATCTATTTATCTATTCATCTATTTATATAGCTGTTTGCATATCTGTTTGTCTGCCCCCCCCCCTCTCTCTCTCTCTATTTACAGATATATATACATATATATATATATATATATATATATATATATATATATATATACATATATACATACATACATATATATACACATATATAATATATATATATATATATATATATATATATATATATATATATATATATATATATATATATATATATATAGATAGATAGAGATAGATAGATAGACAGATAGATAGATAGATATGTCTGTCTATCCATCTATTTATCTATTCATCTGTCTATCTACTTATCTATCTGTGTGGTATGTCTGCATGTAGGTTTACTGTAATTTCTTAACGAACACATAGCTAAAACATATCATATTTGGTATTTGAAATTAGTCTTTTATCTTATCGGCATGTTGCCTACTGTGAGATGAATCTATATATTTTGAAATCATCCCAAAAATGCATAAATCAGGGAAACAACCACACGTATTCTCATGCACAACATATATCCTAAATACATATATATTTCAAACCTTTCTCCTGCTACTTGAAAACCCTAAAACACTTCATAAAACACCAGCGGTGTCTTGTAATCTGTAACTTTCTATCATGTTATCACTTTGCCTTATCAGCTTCAACCCCAGTGGCTTTGTCAAGTCATACGGCTCCTACAGCTTCGTTATAGCTCGAGGCTTTGGTGTGTCGTTATGGAAGTTCTAACTTGATAATAGAACTAGAAAAAAAACTTAACTCACGACGAGGTCTTCAGTAGGAAAGAATAAGACTGACTCCGTACGCGTTATCACTACGATAGCATAATTCTTAATACTTCTGTGATATAGGTGAGTAGTAAAGTTGAAGTGTTGTCTTTTACGTCAGGCAAGAGATTTCAGCTATTTGTCTAGTTGAAGCAGCAGTTGTATTACAAATCAGTCAAACGAAAAGTAAGCATATTCTCGGATTCGAGATGCGCGGCGCATGCGATCATAGTTGCAACACAACGACAACTGCAGTGAAAACATTCCTCACCGAAGCTGTTGTACTCTTCCTCGTATGGAATTAGCCGCAAGTTTTGCTTTTCGAAATGCCTTTCAGTTGTGCTGCATATGGCTGCACGAGCCATAATAAAATGGAAAACAAGCCTGGATTCTTCCGTTTTCCTAATAATGACCAAGAGCTTCGGAAAAATGGATAAACGCATGCAAACGCCAACACAAAGATGGCACGCCATGGAGGCCTAAAGGCAGGAACGTTTACCTTTGTGGAAACCACATCATTACAGCTAAGAATCGAGCTTTTGATGTTAAAAATCAAAATTTACTTATAAAGGTATTCTAACTACCAAGGTTCTGAGCCTTGGAGAACTAACAATAACCATATGAAAACTTACCTTAGGCCAAGGGTAAATTGTTTTCATGGCTCTGGATTCGTAACGTCATGTGATTATTCTTATCAAAGTCCCCCTCCCCAATTTTGTCGTCTGAGGCATTATTTTTGGCATCTGAACGGAATAAAGAGGAGTATTTTTTTCAGGGAAGCCAATGAAGAAGGATCCAAGTCATCCAGACTATGTCCCTTCCATTTTTGTGTACACGCAAAAAGTTGCAAAAAGATAGCAAGAGAAAATGAAGCGGTTTGAATCAGCAAAGAAGAGAAGAGAAAAGTTGGCAACAGTGTCTCGAAGGAAGAGAAAAATTCAAAAGATTTCCTCCTCTGATACAGTGCTCAATGCAGTGATTCTAATGAGAAGCGTCGAACTGTTTTCACTGCAGCTGCGCGCGCATTCACAAATAAAAAGCATGTGACGTCAGCTCGAATCCAAGAATAAGGATTAAAGCAAAAATAAGTATTATCAATTCTATGTCATCAATAAACCCATTATTGTTATTTTTTAAGATTAATCTAATTCTCTAATATTATTATTATTATTATTATTATAACTATTATCAGTATTATCATTAATATCATCAATTCATTACAGTTATCGGCTCTATTACCATTAGTAGTAGCAGTAGACGAGTAATAGTAGTATTATTTTAGTAGTATTTTTTTCATTATCGTTATCATTATTATTATCAATATCATTTTTAGCATTATTGTTGTTTTTGTCGATATCAATATTATTATCATTATTATTGCTGTTGTACTTATTACTATCACTATGTATTATTATTATGAGTGTTATGGTCATTATTATTGTTGTTCTTTTTCTTACCATGATAATTGGTATCAATATTATTATTGTTGACATTTTTATTATGAACATTATTATTATCATCTGTTTTGTTATTATTATCACCCTATTAGACTTACGATTATCATTGTTGCAATCATGTTCAATTATCATTATTACCATTATCATCATTTCATCATAACTATTATTACTGTTGTTATATTATCATTATGGTCATCGTCGTTATCATTATCATTTTGACTATAGCCTTGATAATGATGATTATAATAATAATGATAATAATAAGAGTTATTATTATTATATTTATAATATTAATAACAAGAATGATACCAAAAATAGTGATATTAACTAATAAATATATGAAAGATAATGATAATAATTATCACTATTATTAAAATAATGATAATAACAATAATGCTGGGAATAGAAAAAATATTATCCATAATGATGATAATAAAAATACTGATTATAATAACAATAACAATGATGAAAAATATAATGATAATGTAATAATAATACTAATGATAACTATAATGATATTATCGTTATTATTATTATTGTTATTATTATTATTATTAATTTAACAATATTGATTATGATGTCAGCATTGATAATGATGATAATAAAAATAATACCAATGTTAATAATGATAACAATAACAACAGTAATGGTAATAATAATCAGAATAATAATGATAATTATATAAATAATGATGACAATAACAATAATGATCATGATAATAGCGACAATATCTATAATGCTGATAATAACAGAAGAAATGTTAATGATAATGATTATGATAATGATAATAGTAGTAATAATAGCAATTATAATAGTAATGATAATGATAGTCAGAGCAGCGATAATAGTAATAACAATAATGATAGTAATAATAGTTATGATAATGATAGGGATGATAAGAATAATGGTAATAATAATACTCATAGTAATAGCAATAATGATAATACTAATAGTGATGATAATAATAATAATAATAATGATAAATAATGATAATGGTAATAGTATTTTTAATAACGACGAGGATGAGGATGATCGTGATGATAATAATAATAATGATGATAACAATGATAAGTGATAATGATAATCATAATATCAGTAATTGAAATAGTCATAATAATAATAATGAAAATAATAATAATGATAATAATTATAGTGATAATAATGATAATAATAATAGTTATGATAATAATAATAGTTATGATAATAATAATAGTATAACAATGATAATAATAGTTATAATAGTAATATTAAAATGAGTAATAATAATATATAATGATAATAATACTAATAACAGCAATAGCAGTAATGCTAATTATAACAATAATAATAATGATAATATATAGTAATGCTGATAATGGTAATAGTAATATTAATAATGCTGATGGTAATGATAATAATAATAATATTAATAATAATAATGATAATAATAATAGCAGTGATGAAAGTGACAGACCGACATAAAAAAAAAACATTGTAAGCGTAAGAGAGAGGTTGGGAGCACCGCTGTCACCAGAATAAGAGCGAGACGTGAGGTGGACTTGGGCGGTCAATGAAAGGGGTCTCAGCTTGATGGTTTACTGTTGAAGATAGATATGAGACCCCCCCCCCCAAGAGACCCCATGTTCCCGGGTGGAGGACGAGGTGGTGGAGCTGGACCCTGTGTGGGTTGGCCTGTCTGCCGTGTCTCTCTCCCCCATCGTCTTACGCACGTGCCCTTTTATGCGGCGGTTCCCTTCGAGGACCTAGGTTTATTCCTGTGCGAAAAGAGAAAGCCGGGCGACATCTGCATCTTGCCCAAGGAAAAGGGCAGCTGCTTGGACGGAGGTGTGAAGTGTGCCATCCGGCCTTGCTGCGTGTTGTTGACACATACACAAATATATACATATATATACACACACACACACACACACACATACATATATATATACATATATATATGTGTGTGTGTGTGTGTATGTGTATGTATGTGTGTGTGTGTGTGTGTGTGTGTGTGTGTGTGTATGTGTATGTATGTGTGCGTGTGTGTGTGTGTATGTGTATGTATGTGTGCGTGTGCGTGTGTGTGTGTGTGTGTGTATGTGTATGTATGTGTGTGTGTGTGTGTGTATATATATATACAGGGCCGGATTATCCTATAGGCTAGTAAAGGCTGCAGCCTAGGGCCCCTCAACCTTGGGGGCCCCAAGCTTGAGGGGCTTGGTTATAAAAAATGTTTTTTTTTTTTCACTACGGTTGTGTTGAAATATAGTAAAATAGGGGTATTTAAAGAATATTTTTTATTGACAAACAAAAGAATTTGCAATAAGTTTACTTAAAGCTATATAAATGTCGCTAAAATATATCACAAGTAAAAACTATTCTGAGGGGGCCCCATAATTTCATTAGCCTAGGGGTCCCAAAAGGTCATAATCCAACCCTGTATATATATATATATATATATATATATATATATATATATATATATGTATGTATATATATGTATATATATTAATAAACGCACACATACACACACACACACACACATATATATATGTATATATATATATATATATATATATATATATATATATATATTTATATTTATATACATATTTATATATATATATATATATATATATATATATATATATATATATATATATATATTTATATACATATTTATATATATATTTATATACATATTTATATATATATTTATATACATATTTATATATATATTTATATACATATTTATATATATATATATATATTTATATACATATTTATATATATATATTTATATATATATTCACACACACACACACATATATGTATACCTACGTGTACGTGTGCGGAGATTGTTATCATGGAAATAATTGTATTATCACCACCACTATTGTCACGTCTGCAAGTATGACTAACTTCATTTTTATTAGTTAACATGCCATATATCATAATAAACATTACTAGAAAGGAGAAGATAAAAAAGAAACAAACTCCGTTTCAAAGTGATTTCCTTCCACTTCTTACACTAGCTGATCATTCTCCCTGATTAGCTTCGCTTTACATAACAAGCGATAACAAGTCATCAAACCGTATCTGGAGAAAGGGCAAAATCATCTGTACTTTTATCATGTGAAATGAACTGATGACGGGATTCATATAATATGAAAAGCCTTTTCTAACATTTCATTCAGTTTTTATTTTCTAACTCCTTTAAATATCCTAAAAGCCTACAAATATGTAAACCATTTCCCTTCGAGTAATCGATAAGGCAAACTTATCTGCGAATATGAAGAGTCTTTTTAAAAGCAGTATTTGACCATCGAACCGCCAAGGTCACAGACTCAGAACTGATTAAAATGCTATGAAAACACACGGTGCTAACCTGACAGATATTTGTAATGAAGTCCACTGAACAAAATCGATTTAAAAGGTTCTTGTTACTGTCTATACATATAACCGTTAATGAGATATGTAAGATTCACCGTGTCCTTTTTTTTAGGTGTAGTTATCAGTTTATCCTTATCGAAGTACATTTCTGAGTACTTTCAGGCTTATGACATTAATTCTTTGAGACATTCTTTCTTTTAACTACTGTTGTCCTAGAAATGGCTAAGAATAATTTATGCAAGTTTATTGTCTTTCTGTAATCGAAAGTTTAATTTAGTGAGAAGAAATTATTTCAAAAGTGATCGCAGTTATAAGTAGCCTACTCCCCCTCTGCTTTTCATCTAAAAGTTTTCTATAATTCTCTGATTCTTACAGAAGCAGAAATTAAGTCAACAATTTTTCCTTCTATTATATGAAAGCAATCAATCCATTTCCAATTTTTTGCTCGTAAACGTTGGATCCCGTCGAATTTACCCTTGTCGTCAAACCGGTGCCTAACGTTTAATTCATTAGCCACATATGCATGTACTGTTCTCTGCATTTTAATTTTGGTTATTATCATCATTTATCTTTATTATGATTTATCTTAAATTTTATTATTTTTGTGTGAAATTTGTTGCACACATATGATTTCTAAAAGTGCTCAGCCACCAAGGAGTTAGTAGGCCTGTGTGATCTTATATCCCCATGATTTGACATTTTGTGTTTATTTAATACAACTGATATCGATTTTGTTTACTTGATATGTAAACAAAATATGTAAAATAAAAGCATAGCGAACATATATGCCGCCCTGACATATCGTAATATATATATATATATATATATATATATATATATATATATATATATATACATATTTTTTTTCTTCAAGGTGAAAATGTACTTGACAGATCAGTGACGGCCGATGGCAGGTTTGTGATGATAAATATTTGAAATGCAACGATGTGATTTGGGTACATTGTATTCAGTCAATCATCTGCAACCTTTGAAGTACATTTCTGCCTCCAAAAAAGTGTAATAATACCCACGCATCTGATTAGGTTACGGTAAAAAAAAAATGCTTTCCATATAGATATATCTGGTAAGTAAAGTCAGACATGCAAGCGAAAGCAATGAATATGAGCAGAAAAATATACCGTGTATACAAAACAGCTTTATGTTATATTTTTTCTGTCATATGAACTTGGTCGACTGCAACAAACGGTCTTTATTTCAATAAAACGGTTCAGTGTCTAGTAACTTCATACTCAAGTCTCATTTACAAATGCAGTTTCATTGTTCCAATACACGACAGAATCAATATATTACGATATCCACAAACTGTCATCAACTTTGTCAATTATGAATCATACTTATCTGCATCATTTCGTAAAAGATTTCAGTCATTATTATGATTCACATTGCATACACGCCAATCATTTAATCTCACACATTATCGATAATGTCATTCTACGTCTGGTGGTATCGGCCTCAACAGGCTTCGCCCATCTCTCCATTGTGTTGTGTTGTTAGTGAGTATAGAAAGCAGCTTTTATATATTTAAATAAATAAAGAATTTTATTTATAAAATGTTCATAAATCTAAATTAACATAAGCTCAGTCTTTCTCCCTACAAATTTACGGATTTACGCTACATATACTTTGTGCTAAATCATTGGTCAAAGGTTTTCGTAATATTTGCTTTCCGTCAAAAGGAAACTAACACTGATAGGTTTGAAGGAGAAAATTTGAAAACTAGAAGCTTAATATAGTGGGCAACATATATAGATACACATATAAAGAGACTGATATAGAGTTAGTGCTAATTTTAAAAACATGATTTCTTATCATTTTGGAATTCTTTGTCAGTTCTCACAAGGATTTTATGAATTTACTTTTTCATTTTCTTGTCCTTTCTCTGTCATCTACCAAATATCAAGATCATATCTAATTCGTTTTATTCAATGAAGGTTTTCCACATTGAAGCATCCTGTGATCCCGCCATAAATTCAAAAATCTATACATTTTCATATCGCCGTAACGGAAAGAGTTGATGAGCTCATGAACTTCGGAAAAAGACACATGTGGAATTTCTCGGTTAGGTTTATGGTCTACAAATATACATACGGCTATAAAAGGGTCATTAAGTACCCTAAATGCAGTACACAGTTTTAAACTACATCAAAGCCTCATGATAACTATATAATTTCTATTTTAAAGGTTTCTCCTTTTTCCTGTATCTTATCCTTTATGCTGTATGTACTATTTCCAGACCCTAAACAAGTTAATTATAACCATTTGTAAACTACCCTCCGTGCTAATAATCATTATTGTTAATAACCCACCCGTTTTGTCACAGTCCTTTGAGCTAATAACACATCCTTTTCCACTATGTTAATATCACATCTTTATCCTTTGGTGTTAATAACATCTATTTTTTCACAGGTTCTTCTCTCCCAGTCGTCCTCACTCCAACGCCAAAATGTCGAAATCTAAAACAGTAAGTACTGTCTTAACGATGCAACAGTATTTCCTAGTGTAAAGGAAGAATAAGTGGTATCTAGATATCCGTTGTTTTCGCCTGAAAGATCTATAGAGCTGACAATATTTCTAGACTACAGTGTCCCATAAATCTTCAACAAGCAGTAACGATACAGAAAAAATAACTGTGAACTAGGAAGTCACCACTTCAACTTTACTTTAAAACTCTGTGATGTCGCAACAATTTGGCTGATAAGAGTGACGTTATATTCACTTCCTGCTGGACCACTTCCACAGACAATATGTAACACAAAGTTTCAGAAAACGGCAAATATATATATATATATATATATATATATATATATATATATATATATATATATATATATATATATATTCATTTTTTTTAATACTAATACTGTCTTTGTTTTACATTTTCTTAACGGTTA